TTGTACCCCAAAATTTTCCCTCTCATTTCTCAAGGCATTTTTCACAAGCCTTCTTCGATTCATCTCTTTCAATTGGCCTTTTGGCCTCTTCTGATGCAAGCTTGGCTTGCATCCTTCGACTGGGCGTGGGCCTCTGGCACGTTGGCCTTGATTCATAAGGCAGGAACTTCCTGCATGCAACCTTCGATTGCATCTTTGGCCTCATATGGTTCACAATACAGTGGTTGCCTATGTGCCTGCTTCGATTGGATGTTTGATGCTTGCATGCCTGTGTTGACTGGACAAACATTCTCCTTCATGCTTGCTTTGACTCATAAAGTGATGGCTGGCTATATGTAACCTTCGATTGAGCCACAGGTTCCTTCTTGCACGCAAGAGGCTCCCACCAGGCCAGCAAGCACAAGGCAAGAGCCTCTTGTAGCCTCCTTCGATTTCAAGTCAAAGAGCCTCTTGATTGATGTCCTTCGATTCAGGAGGCAAAGGCCTCTTTTCTGGTTTCCTTCTACTGCATATTTTTCCTCCTGCATGCCTCTTTTGTTTGGGGCATATGGCCCTCCTTTGTTGCAAGCCTCGATTGTGCCCTTTATCCTCTGCATGCATTCTTCATTTGGGGCGTATGAACCCTTCAGTGCAAGTTTTTGGTTACACCTTTCGTTTGGGCATGTGGCTCTCTTCATGTAAGCCTTCGTTTGAGAAAATATCTCTTGCATGTTTGCATGAAGTAACAAAGTAGGGACCCCCTATATACACCCTTTCGTTTGGCCATATGACCCCTTGCAGGAAAATTTGAGTGGGCAGTATCTCCCTTTGAAGTAGTTTGCTTCAACACATAAATTCTACACTATGCCATTATCTCGTGCGAAAGAAGCACCATGATGGCACATTCGAAGGACTTTCCAGACGTGCCTGGATGTCCCAATAGAATGACATGTTTTGTTGATCCACCCCAGGAGCATGTATTTGGATCATTCGAAGGAACCCACAAAAGGTCTGGTCGAAAGACACCCATTTGGGACCCTTCAAAGGATACCCATATGAGCCCTTCCAAGGACACTTTAATTTGAAAAAAGGAAATTTTGTTGAGGAGTCTGGTCGAAGGATAGGGCTAGGGGTCAAAACAAAAGGTTGAGATGCCCAAAGGTATCTGCTGACCAAGTCCCATGCGCTTCCAAGTTCAGGCCTGATACACTGGCCATAACACAACAAAACTGCTGCACAACAGTCCTGAAACACTGCCACATTCTTGCACCAAAATGGCATACAAACACTGTCCCTTGAAAACTACAAGCACAACATGCCTTTTTGTTTAAACTTTTTGTTTTCCCTCCTAAAACATCATCCAAATCCATCTATAAATATGAGCCTCCATCACACATCTTAGGGGCCCCTGGATATTTGCAAGAAAACTCTTGTGAGAAATTCTCCAAAAACTCTCAAACACCTCCCAACGTTTTTTTAAATATTCCAAACACTTTTTAAAAACTCAGCCCCCTTTGTACACTAAGTGAATCCTTCGATTCACTCCCCAAGTAACCAGAGAGATAACCTTCGACCCACCCCCTCAACCATAATATAAAAATCTTTTTATTCACTCCCTTACCTAGTAACCTTCGATTCACTCACATATCCTTCCTTCGATTCAGTGACTGCTCAAGCAAGGTAGTAACTGGACTAGTCTCAGGAAGGCCCCAACGAACTTCCATTCACCACCAAGGAAGACACTTGCAGTTTCCTTAGATTTAAGAACTTCAAGAGGTAAGTTCTCTTTAAACTTGAAACTATTTCATTTAAATATCATGTGCACATGCCAATAAAGAAAAAATGTATATATTTCATATAGAGAGCTTGACCATGTTTTAACCTTCGATTCAGACTGCCCATGTGTTGGAAATCTCAACTCTGACTAGTTAGGCTTTGGATTTTGAGACCCAGTAATTTTGTGCTAACCCCTGGCATGTAGCTTTTGAAATTTACACTTGAATGTTACATTTTAAAAGTTTAAAACAGGTTCTCTGTACCCTTCGATTGGCAAAGTATTCAAGCCTTTCGAATCCCAACCTGAGGGCCTAGTATTCCTACAGTCGAAGGAGGCAGCAAGGAGCCTGAGGCAAAGAGCGCATTTCACGTTGACCCCAGGCCTCAAATGAAGGAAGTAGCCAGTAGGATGTCCATGCTGACTGCCAAGTCTCAAACGAAAGAAGCAGCCAGAAGGGTGGTCATGCTGACTTCCAAGTCCCAATCGAAGGAAGCAGGAAAAGGGTGAAATTGAAAGACATGACCTTGCTGACTCCAAGCCCAAATCGAAGGGAGCCAAGAAGTGCAAAATTAAAGAGTGTGGCTGCCTGAATCGAAAGAGCTCATTTTTCTTCCTTTTATTTTTGTTTTGTCTTCACATTTCTTGCTCTTCAATATGGTTGTAATAGTGTAGGATTTATTTTCTGCATTTTTATTATTTTGGTATAAATGTTAGTAATTATGATGTATGGCAAGATAAAACCAACAAGCAAATAACCTAAAATTCAAAGACAAAATGCACGCAATCAAACACACTATTCACACACATGCACCCCTAGGGTAATTTCACTTGTTGCCTCAGAAAAATAGTCATGTCCCTCGAATATGGGCGTTTTTAGTAAAGACTTTCGATAAAAGATCGTAGTCCCTCGATGACCCTTAATGTTTCCTTCGATAAACGATCTAGTCCCTAAACGACATTGTTAAAACGTCCCATAGGTTGCCTTATATGACTATACAAACGTACCATGTTCGTCCCTTCACATCCAATGAAGGGGATTCTTACCAAATCAATGGTAAGATAGCAACATCTAAAGGAGGAGAAAAAGAACATGGACCTTTTGAGTATGTAGGATGCTCCTAGTTTCTCTCTTGCTCATAACAAAAATACTTTATACACCAACACTTTCATTTGAAAGATTTTCAAAAGACAAAACTTTTTACGCGTTCTTATAGAAACGAGAACCATTACAAAGACACTTTTCAAAATACTTTCAAAACCCACACCACAAGCACATTTTCAAACAAAAGCAAGTGATCTAGCAAGCAACTAAGAGCCCGTAGATAACTACGGATGAAAAGGGTGTTAACACCTTCCTTTTTCATAACCTACCCCCCGAACTCAAGAAAATAATCTCAAAGGTATTTCCTGTTCTTTTCACACTTTTCTTATTGGATAAAATAAAAGTCGGTGGAAACTCTTGCTATCCGCAACAATTGCGATCAAATGCAAAACAACCAAGTCAGTTATCCCACCGTGTTACAGTATCCATCAAACTCACCTAACATGCTCTGAAACAGTTTTCACTTACCATTTAATAACAACAGATTTTTTAGGCTCCTACTAAATAAGAAGACATTCAAGCATAACTTGAAGAATCAATCTCCACTTTTAAAATTTTAGATGAGCAAGAGGACGATGGACTACAAGGAAGACATTTTTTCTATTCTGAACAACCTCCTTATAAGAGAGTGCTTGATCTCTCTTTCTATGAACCACATCTCGACGACCGAGAAAAACACGACCATAGGTTAGAGAGAGAGCAAGTAATCAACAAAACGATAAACTTAGAATGACAGATGCAGGGAAATTGATGAAAAGGAAGTGTAAAAAAGAAACAAAAAGGAGGAGGTTATTTCTCGGATTGGAGCACTTGATGAATAACAACAAGGATGAGAATCTGAATGCAAAAATATCATAAAATGATATAGATTAAGTTTTTATGCTAATATCTATTTGAAAAGATGGAAGACATACACGTGAACACATGATGACTATAATACAAAAGTATCACATGTTACGGGTAACGGAGTTAAGGAGGAAAGTGAAAATTTATTATTCTACCGTAGCGATAGTGCTTTGCTTGGTCTAGTTAAGAGAGGGTTTGAAATTTCTGATCGGTCATCATGAGGAAGAAGCATTTACATTGAGTCAAAGACTCATCTAAAGATTAAAAAAACGTCAAAATAAGTAAGAGAGACATCACATATTGACCTAAAACTTTAAGATAATGAATGTGTGGGTCTTCTCACTTATGAAGTGTTCAACCTCCATTTTTTTAAGTAATGTAAAATTTTCATAACTCATATTTTTTATCAACGATCTTTCCACCCTTCTCAAATATGAATCCATCCACTATAAAATTCCCCAGACATTACCACCAATTGATTGTCTGACCGCCACCACCACCGCTTCTAATATTCTGATATTTGACATTGCCAAACCATATTTGTATTCTCTTCGCCACTCAATATTTTAAAGAATACTCCTACACTTATTATTAAATTAGTTGAGTAAAAATTTTATCATACTAATTTGTTATAATTCCATCCATTTTTTTCATAACAAAATATTGTATTACTTGGTTAAAAATTTAAAACTCATTAGAAATAACGTTTAATATCCATCAGACTCTTCTTATTTCTAACTCATCATTTTAATTATCATTATTATTTTCCTAAAAGTTTATATCTCAATAATTGTTTAATCCAAAAAAAAATTATTGCAAAAATAAATAATGTAGTTAATTTTTCAAAATATTTATACAATCGTGACTTTCTTAAATGAATTTTTTTATACAAGAATAAAAAACTTTATAGCTTATAAACTTTATGTCAAAAATATTTATAAATATTTTAATAAAGATTGAGTTTTCAATACTTTGACTGAGTGAAATATTTATAAATATCTTTTTATAGAAATAAATTTATTTTTTCAATAGTGGAAAGATTATTGATGAATACCCACAGATTTATTATAATTTTTGGTCAAAATAAAATAAAAGATTGTTTTTTTTGTCTAGAAGACTATATTTTTAATGTCTATTTATTTATTTGAGTCAAAAAAATATTTATTATTCAAGATAATTATTTCTCTTTTTTTCCCACTTTTTCTTTGCTTTTATTTTAACATGAAATTATAAATAACCACCTAGGGTTGATCCTTCAACCACACGTCCAGTCAGCCAAACTAAAAAAACTAGAAAATGAATCCCCTTCCTCCTTCCAAGTCATTGGGTCAGGGTCGTCGGAGAAAAGGTGTATCACGAAAATTCATCCCAGAAGAGCTTATAGTTTTTGTGATTTCTTTACTTCCTGTGAAATCGCTTTGTCGACTGAGGTGTGTTAGTCCAACATGGAACTCTTTCATCACTAATACCGCTTTCGTTAAATTACACCTCGATCGATCTTCTCGAGACGAGCGAGTCATCCTTGTATACACTCCTAATTGCACAATGGTATCCTTCACAGTACTTTGTTTGTTCGAGAATCCTCCTATCATTGTCAAACTTCCAGCAGATCCTTACGTTCATCTTAGAAACACTGATTGTTTTTACATCATTGGTTCCTGCAATGGACTCATATGCTTGTTCGGTCAATGTTTCACCACCATTGGCTGTCAGGAGATGTGGTTTCGTTGTTGGAATCCAGCCACAAGGACAATATCGGAAAAATTTCGATATTCTCCTGATCAATTGTTCCCTTTTACCTACCCTCCGTATTTGGTGTTTGGCTATGATCAATTGTCAAATACATATAAGGTGGTGTATTTAGCTCCTAAAATAAAAGATACAAAAGTTTACAGATTTGGTGATAATGTTTGGAGAAATATTCAAAATTCTCCTGTGAATCACGATTATGCGATGAGTCTTGTGAATATGAGTGGCACTGTTAATTGGTTGGCAATTTATAGGTACTCTTCTCTTTATTATAATTGCAAGGCTATTAATGTTGATCAATTTGTGATTATATCACTTGATTTCAGCACTGAGACACATACGCAGCTTCGACTTCCTCTTGGTTTTAATGAAGTGCCATTTGTTGAACCAATTCTGAGTGTGTTAAATGATTGTCTTTGTTTTTCTCATGATTTCGAGCAAACTCATTTAATTATATGGAAAATGAGGAAATTTAGAGTGGAAAACTCTTGGACTCAATTTCTGAAAATTAGTTATCATAGTTTTCAAATATATGATCACTTTAATAACTCTGACTTTCAGATGTTACCATTGTGTCTTTCGGAAAAGAGTGGTACTATATTGTTGACAAACACTCTTGAAACCCAATCAATTCTCTATAATTGGAGATATAATACAGTAGAGAGAACTGATAAAACTGAGTGGTTGAAAGGCTGGAAGTACGTTGAAAGCTTGGTTACATATCCCTGAAAGTAAGTATCTCTACGACAATTAACTCGTTTGAATTTGATTTACTTCTATGATAATTTTCTTATGATGACTTTAATTTGATCATATCTTTGAATGACGATGTATTATTAAATTTATTATAAGTTAGATAACGATTTTTTTTAGATAAATTTCTTATAAAGAGTTTGTTCAAACTTGTATTAATTTCATTTAAATCGAAATTTTGTTGTAGATAGTTTGCATAATTGATCCTATTTTTACATATAAAGTTATAGTTTATTTATCCATAATTGAGGATATTTTTTTAAAATTCACTATATATTGGATATTCTTGTTCTGATTGTTCATCCTTAATCTTTAATAACATAAAACTCGTATTACTTGTGGTACAGGCTTTGTATTCATGGTAGTGCGGTGGAAGGTTGGTGTGGCATTCTTTAACGTTGACCAACTCCTCACTAAGCATAGATTATTGAACATTTGTTCTATGTCTTTTATTTTGTACTAGTTATGCCTAGATTATAGAAATTTATTTGTTTTCGATTCAATTTTCTTAAACTTGTCCTTAATGCATCATGGATGCATGTTATGTTATGGTTCTCGTGTGTCTTGCTTTTAGCACATTGTTGTTATTGGTCCTTCATGGTTGTATTTGAACTTCTCCTTTAAAAGGGAGTTTTATTAATAAACTTTGATGGTATAAAAAAATAAATAACCCTAATGTACATCAATGCATTTATTTGATTACACTTATGTTGTTAATTAATAATTAATAATTAGGTTGCCTCTCTGGCTAGATTAACTAGAGAATTTTTATTATAAGCGAAATTTATTAATGAGAGTATAAAGATTACTCATGCTTAGTCACAAAGCTCAATCAAAGTTCAGAAAATCATGAGGAGGCAACACTTTAATACTCTAATACTCATAACAAGATCATCTAAAATGCAAAATTATTGTTGAATAAAATGTTGTTTCACATGTTCCATATGGACCATATTGTAGTTAGATAGCATAAACTCGACTTCTTCTTCGTAATCTTTCCTGTAAGTACTCATGTGAAGAGTTTATATTGAGTCAACACTTCATAAACACCCAAGTTCTTCATATCCAACCATATGTATATGTTCTCCCATGCTCTTTTACTTGCCTTACATTTGAAGAGTAAATGATATAAATCTTCTTCCTCTTTAAAACATACAACACATACCTTTTCATTCACATTTTGAATGATCCCCATCTTCACTAGTTGATCTTTTGTTGGGAGTCTATTTAACATCACCCTCCAACCAAATACCTTCAATCTTGAAGAAATGTTTATCTTCCAAATTCTCTTCAATTCTTTTTTGATATTTACTTCCAATAAGTCTTCTAATTCCTTGTCACGCAAAAAATCCTAACAGCTTTTCACAGTAAAGTTCCCATCTCGATGTGGCCACCACTTAATCATGTCAGTTTCTCCATATGTAGGTTTGGTGTTTTTTAACACCTCGAAGAGTTCTACAAGTCTTCTGTTGCTATCGAGTCACCTTTAATTTCCTTTGCTGCAATATGCAGATTCCATATCCATTCTTTAGACTGCAAGTTTCACATCTCAATGATCTTCCCCAAAGGCTTCTTTAACCTTCTGTATATATTAGTAAAACATTTTTTTAGGGGAGAATCCCATATCCATCTGCTCAACCAAAACAAAATTATCCTCCATGCGCCTAATATGTAAATGATATTACCTGCAAAACAGTCAGAATTGTTAGTTTTGTGCACACTTGCAGCATGTATATCCTTCCACCAAGTTGATGATATTTTGTTTTTCTTTGCATCAATCCCCATCAGCACAATATGTTGTACATCACCATATCTTTCCATAAATGTATGTTTCCAAATAGAATTATCTTTATTTAACATTCTCCACTTCCATTTGCATAGTAATGCTTTATTAAAATAACATATGTGTCTAATGTCAATCTGTTTACCATGAGTTTTGGTAAACAAGTGTTATTCTTCCAAATCTAATGTTTTCGTTATTCACGGAATCGACTAAATTGATCCTAGGACATATGTGTTTAGTATTTTTTTAGGTTTTCTTGGTAATAATTACTTCGACAGTAAAAGGAATTTTAAAGGTAATGCGAGAATGATTGATAAAAAGTAAAGGAATGTAAATAGGCTTCGACATGAAATGTGAAGGAACAAAATGGTGTTAAAATAAGTAAGTTGACATTGAATAAAAATTAAATGATTCATACGTATATTTCTCAGACACTCTTTTCTCAATAACACTCGGATACTTCGAGTATTTGTGATTTTTGGTATAATTTGAATTCATAAAATATGATCTTCAGACCTCTATTTATACTAATTCGATTTTAATGGTAACAAACGGTATTTTCCTCTAAGGATGACACATTTCCGTCTGTATGTATTTCGATGTTCTCAGGCTTCCATGCATTCTTGTAAATTTGATAAGATCAAAAGACAATTAATCAGCCTTATTTCAAATATATATCTATCGCATTCTTAGTTTATGTAACCTTGTTGAAGTCTTCATTGTCTTGAACTCCAATCTATATTACTCGCTCGCCTCAAACATTTTCCTTTAACTTTACTTATTATTTCAAACCTTATTAATCATCGAAATCCCAGCTAACAAATTTCTCCCAAAAATGTTTGTTTCTAACACATGGAGTGTAACGCCCAATATTTAATTAATTATTTAATTAATCATTTAATTAACTATTTTCGAATATTTTTTCGATTAAGTTTTCGAAGTTGTGAAATGTTGATTTAAGTTGTGTCATTTTTATTTGAATTAATTTATTTGATTAAGTTGTAGAATAATATTAGAATAATACTAATATTTGATATGAGTTTATTTTAATGTTAGAAGTAGTAGAAAGAGAGTGTAGGAATTTAAGCTCAATAAGACATAATAAGAATAATAGTGTTATTATATTAGTTATTTAGAAATAATGAGAAAGAAAAGTAGCAGTAAGAACAAATAGGGGTTTTGGCACTAGAAGAAAATAAGGGTTTGGAGAAGAAAGAGATACGTGGAATTTCAAGCAAAGAGGAAAAATTATGTGCAATCGAAGAGTTAGAGAAATCTTCAATCCAAGATAAGAGTGAGGTTCTGACTCTATAATAAGGTATGTGATGAATGGTATGTGGGATTTGGTTGTAAAATTGTTTCTGTTTGTGTTTGGAATTGATATATTGGTGAAATTGACGGATAAATTGAGAACCCAATTTGATATTTTACAAATTGTAACTTCATGTTTCATTCTTATATATTTAATTAGTTTATTATATATTGACATACACAGTGCTTCTTCATTATATATGTGTATAGTATCATTGGTATCACTTTATTAACCATTGGGTATAAGATTTCCATCTAGAGTAGTTGTTCGGCTCACCCACTTATTGTATACTACTAGCACCACATATGTTTTTGTTGTGAATTCAATGCCAATAACAAAGTATAGAAAAATAAAGAGGAAGGAATAACGAACAAGGAAGAAGAAGAACACAAGAATTGGTTATAACTGCTATTCTTTACTTTCTCTTAGAGAACAAGATTACAAGTTTACAAGAATAACAAATAACCCTCTCACCCTAAATTAGGATTTGCTGTGTGTTGCAATGATGAGAGACTAGTATGCTATTTATAATAAAACCTAACATACTAACTAATGGGCTTTTTCCACAAGGCCCATTATACAAGCTAACTTAATAAACAAGCTAACTTAACAAATTAGGGTTTAAACACTAAAACCTAATTTAACAAGCATTTTCGACAAATACATGCTAGACCCTTCTTCGACTACAGCATGTACTTCGATCATACTAGAGTTTGATCCAAAATCCCACAAATCTCCACCTTGGACCTAACTCTACAGCATCAAGAGACACTAACTAGCTTTCTTCATGTCAAACTCCTTATTGAGTTCAGCCTTCACCCTCATTACATCTTCGACATTGTTGCTTGCTATCAGAATATCATCAACATAAAGCAACAAAATAACAAATGAATTTTCAGGTCGAAATCTGGAGTAAACACAATGGTCGAACTGACTTCTAATGAAACCTATGTGTTCCATGAACTTGTCGAATCTCTTATTCCACTGTCGAGGAGATTGTTTAAGTCCATATAGAGATCTCTTCAGTTTGCACACATAATCTTCTTTCCCCTTTTCGACATACCCTTCAGGTTGCCTCATCAGGATTGTTTCATCTAAGTCACCATACAAGAACGCAGTCTTCACATCCATTTGTTCCAGTTCAAAGTCGAACTGAGCCACCATGGCAAGCAACATTCGGATGGATCTGTGCTTCACAACAGGGGAAAATACATCATTGAAGTCGACACCTTCTTTCTGAGTGAAACCCCTTGCGACTAATCTTGCCTTGTACCTCTTCGACATTACTCCTTCAATTCCTTCCTTAACTTTGAAAATCCACTTACAGCTGACTATCCTTGCCCCAACAGGTTTCTTGATTAGTTCCCAAGTGTGATTATCATGAAGAGATTTCATCTCATCATGCATGGCCTTTAGCCATTCAGTCTTCATTCGACTCCTTATAACTTCCTTATAATCTCTAGGTTCTTCGTCTAGAACTTCACTTGCAGAGATTAAGGCATAAGCTACAAGATCTGCATATCCAAGTCTCTGAGGTGGTTTTATGACTCTTCTTTGCCTATCTCTCGACAATAGGTAGTCATCAACAGTTTCCTCAACATCATCAGAATCTTCTGTTTCTTCTTCGACTTCATCTGGGATACGCATTTCAGCATCAACATGCTCCACCTCAACAGGAATCTCTACCTGTTCCAGCTCTTCGTCAACATCATCAGTTTTCTTGAAAGCCATTTCAGTTTCATTGAAAACTACATCTCGACTGGTGATACACCTCCTGTGACCTGGCTCTAGGCACCATAGCCTATAAGCTTTCACTCCTTCAGGGTATCCCATAAACATGCATTTCAGAGCTCTAGGTTCGACCTTGTCTTGCCTAATGTGAGCATAGGCTACACAGCCAAATACTCTTAGTTTGTCGAGATCTGGTGGATGTCCCGACCAAACTTCTTCAGGTGTCTTCATATCTAACACTGTCGAAGGACATCTGTTTATCAGATATGCTGCTGTCGAAACAGCCTCAGCCCAAAACACCTTCTTTAATCCCGCACTAGTCAACATGCATCTAACTCTCTCCAAAATAGTTCGATCAAACCTTTCAGCCAAACCATTTTGTTGTGGAGTATCTGCGGTAGTTCTGTGCCTTGCAATACCAGAGGCAACACAAAAACTGTCGAACGCCTCATTGCAAAACTCAAGGCCATTGTCGGTTCTCAACCTCTTTACCTTTCTGCCAGTTCGATTTTCGACAAGAGTCTTCCAACTTTTGAAATTCTCAAAAGTTTCATCCTTAGTCTTCTGGATGAATACCCATAACTTTCTGGAATAGTCATCTACTATGGATAGAAAATACTTTGCTCCTGAATGTGATGGACACCTTGCAGGCCCCCAAAGATCAGCATGGATGTAATCAAGGGATCCATGTGTTCTTTGTTTGCCTTTGTTAAACTTCATTCTACAGGACTTTCCAAGTACACAGGGTTCACAAAACTTCAGCTTTTCGACTTTATCTCCACCAAGCAGATTTTGTTTCCCTAATTCAACCAGACCCCTTTCACTGACATGGCCCAATCTCATGTGCCAAATTTCTGTCTTCGACAAAGGTTTCGTGGATGCAACATTTGTCGAACCACTTACAACTTCAGCCTCAAGGGTATACAAGCCTTGTTTCTTCACGCCTCTCAAGACTTCCTTCGACCCTTTCATGACTCTCAGGATACTTTTCTCTCCTTGAAACACATATCCTTTCTTGTCGAATTCACCAAGAGAAATCAAATTTCTCTTCAAATCAGGTACATACCTGACTTCAGTCAACAATCTTATTGACTCATCATGGAGCTTGAATCTCACAGATCCAACGCCTGCAATCTTGCAAGCTTTGTTGTTTCCCAGCAATACAGATCCACCATCTTGATCACATAATTCCTCGAACAAGTCTTTGTTTGGAGTCATGTGCCAAGTGCATCCAGAATCCATAATCCACTCCTTCGACGAGTTGTTGCTTGAAACCACAAGAACATCAGATGATTCGAAATCATCTTGGACAATAGCTGCATTGCCATTATCCTTACCTCCATGATCTTTCAGGCGTTCAGGGCACACCTTTCTTGTGTGACCTACTTTCTTACAGTGATAGCATCTAATACCAGATGCGTCACCACTATAAGACTTCGACTGATTTTTACCTTTCCTCTTGTCGAATTTTCCTTTAACAGCCAAACCTTCACCAACCGTCGAAGGTTTATGCTCCTTACGTTCGTTCAAGTCCTTAGAGTACAAAGCTAATTGAACTTCTTCAAAGGTCAGGGACTCTCTTCCATACAAGAGGGTTTCTTTGAAGTGAGCATGTGATCTGGGCAAAGCGCACAACAATAACAGCGCTTGATCTTCATCATCAATCTTTACATCAATATTTTCAAGATCAAGAATCAGTTTGTTGAACATATCCAACTGCTCAGCCAACACTTTGTCTTCAATCATCTTGAA